CAAGGGAAAGCAGAAATGTTAATGAGTATATCTACACATGGAAAGAGGAAGAAGCAACCTAAGATAATAACATCTGTTGAAAAGGACTTTAAGAAGGGAATGGATAAGCCTTTAAATTTATTAAACAGTTGTCTTCACTAACTCTGGGGTACAGGCCCCTAAATCACTGACCTAAGGCCACATACTGCATGTCAGTTTCCTCACATGCAACATAGATTGTTTGATCTTTATCTAGCATCCCTATATCATCTACATCCAAATGTAGAAAATAGAAACGTGCTTGCTGAAGTCTTCCCTATTTCCTGAACGTTTGTATTTCTGTCTCCACAAGATTACTCTACATATTGTTCAACTCCAAAATTCATGATTGGTTTCCCCAAAATTTCCTCTGTACCCCAACATTGACCATTGCACGTAACCAACATTCTGACGTCTACCATATCTTTAATGTGACTTTTTAAAGTGAAACAAACAAAATTGCCCCATTACAAATGCACTTTGTTTATGAAATGTATGGTAATATTCATATTGTCACATCGTTCACTCAATTATTACCAAAAGAATTCCTATATAGGGTCCTCCCTGGTGGTGCAGCGGGTTAAAACACAGCACTGAGAAGCTAAAGCCACTTCCACATGAGTTCGATTCCCGCCTGCCCCGGAGGTGACCACATGGCAGACCTCTCCTGACCTGCCCGCTGCTCCCCTCAGCAGTGTACTTAGTCGATCTGCCTGTTCTGCTCCCCACTCTGTCTCTGGTGAAGTCTTTCCCCGCCCCTGAGTCTCTGGCCTGTACCCCAGTTCTGTATGCACAAATAAATAAATCTTTAAAAAAAAAAAGAATTCCTATATAAATGAGTTTAATATGATAATTTTAAGTGGGTCAGGTGTCTTTGCTAATCCTTCAATACTTCATAAACATTATAATCTTTTTTGGTTGATTCCATTTTCCACCTATCTAGGTACCATATATGATTGTATTTATAATTTAAAACGATACCTTTAATTACAAAGACTTTACAATTGCATTCATAGGACAAGCTAATAATAGAACATATAATTTTCTTTTATTTGTTTGTGGATTTTTTTAAATTTTATAAACATTTTATTTATAATTTGTATAAAAATTTATTTAATTATGGGTTATGACAATTCAAAAGTATCTTTCATATAATATACATTCAAAATATTTGTGGATAAGTTAATAAATGGAGGCATATTTTATTATATTTTTAAATGCAAGCTAAAAATCTTTAAGTGTTTTATAAATGTTTAGGTTCATCATTTCCTAGATTGTAAATACTTTCACGTATGTATTTAGCTCAAGATTATACTATGGATGTTAATATTTTGCTTCAATAATATTTTTTGAACTAATGAGGCAAAAAATGTAGCAAATGGTATCAAGAATATAGTCATTTCTTTTTGAGTTACATGCATATTTTTTCTATAAAACAATGGAAAGTATGTTGATTCATTAAATAACTGTAGTGACTGTTGATTTCTCTTGAGAGTCAATAAGAAAAAATATAATTAGGAAACATTCTGATGTCTAGTCCAAATTTTCCCAAATGTAAGAGCTAATAGTGCCTAATTTTCAATGGGATTCATTATACTATAATACAAATATATATATATATATATATATATATATATATATAGTAAGTAGTTCTCATTGCTTTACCATATACTCATCAGTGTTCTCTAAGGATAATCATTGCTTATGATATTTATCCTTTTAGTAATAATCTTTCTGTATACTGTTGGAATCAAACTAAACTTGCAACCAAAAGTTATTGTTAATGAGACTCTTTGGGTATCCACTGTGAATTGTTAGTCTCTCTCAAAAGGTGGCAGAATTAACAAGGCAAATTTGTGAACTAAAAGGGGAAATGACCTTAAATAGTATGTCTTCTTTGTCTAGATTGCTTGACTTTTGTTCAAAAATATTCATTAGGCCAAATATTTTTTTCTATTTATGTTAATAGTGAATCTGAAAAAGTTAATTGAAATGCATTCAGAAGCTCAAACATAGTTGCAAGTAGGATATAGGGTTTATTGACAGTCTATTCTTAGACCAAATAAACAGTAGTTTAGTTATATTCACTTTAAAATTATGTAAAAGTAAAAAACAATATTCTATGAAACCAATTTTAGGTAATCCACTGCAGGGTGCAACTAGTAAAGGAAAGAAAAATAAAAAAGGTATTTTAAATGTATAGAGAATAGAGATGTGTGACAGAGTAAAATGACAATGCATGAGAATTAATAAAAGACTTCATTTGGGAAAAAATATAGGATCAATGTTGATCTGAAAATTAATTACATTGACTCATCATTACAGAAGATATTTTAAATGTGAGTTTTGAAGAAGATAGCATATAAGGTCCTTAGGAAAAATAGATTTAACAACACGTACTCAAAACTACTATGGAAAATTATATAAGACATCACTGAAAGATTTTAAAATAAACACTAAGCAGTGATAACATGTTTTATAAGAATAACTCAATATATTGAAAACACTTTACTAACATGGTCTATAAATTCAAAACAAAAACAATTCCAAACAAAATTAAAGGTCATGGGCTAAATGTAAGGTGTTTGTGAATTAACCTCAAAAAGACTAAGTTGTCAGTGATAGGAAATACTCATGAATGTATAGTACTTCATTAATCAGAATGGGAAGTCCAGAGATAAGTCATATATAAATGAAATATAATAAATCATTGATGATATAGGGAGAACTTGTGTTTAAAAAAAAAAAGGGGCGGCCCTCCCTGGTGGCGCAGCGGGTTAAAGCACAGCACTGAGAATCTGAAGCCACTTCCGCATGAGTTCGGTTCCCGCCTGCCGCCTGCCCCGGAGGAGACCACATGGCGTGGCAGACCTCTCCTGACCCGCCCGCTGCTTCCCTCAGCAGTGTACTTCGTAGATCTGCCTGTTCTGCTCCCCACTCTGTCTCTGGTGAAGCCCCTCACCGTCCCTGAGCCTCTGGCCTGTACCACAGTTCTGTACGAATAAATCTTAAAAAAAAAAAAAAAGGGGGAAAACAAGTTGTCGGCAATCAAAAATGAAAAAGAATTTCTCTCACCAAGTAACTCTGTTGTACCACTCCTAGGGTTCGAGCCCTCATTTTGATTTTCCAGTAAACTCTGTTTCGCTGCAGTGGAGATTTTATTTTCACTTCTCAGTGTAGTAAACACAAAAAGGACTGCAGAGGGAGCAGAGGTTCCATCAATAGGTACCTCTGAGCCATCCAGCACCCCCAACTCCAAGCCTGTAGGGGTTGAGTCTTCTCTGGAGCTAGGACTGATCCTTGAGCTCATATTAGATTATTGCTTCAGGTGATGGAATTCAGACTAGTGCTCAGGTTAAATAAGTGTTCAGCTCAAACTAACAATTTGTTCAGGCAAGGAAGCCCTTGCAAGTGGTTCCCTAAATGGAGGAGATTCCTAAGAGATCTCGTCCTAATATATTTTCATATGTGTCTTTAGGCTCTGTTGTTTATTTTGTAAGAAATCTGCACTGACTGGACAGGGATTGGCATCTTGGAAACCAAGAACTTCCAACTTCATGTGCCTGATGAGTCCTAGGGAGGCACAAATTATAGCTTCAGAACTGGGGTACAGGCAAGAGGGGTGGTGAGAGGCTTCACCAGAGACAGAGTGGGGAGCAGAACAGGCCGACTGACAAAGTACATTGCTGAGGGGAGCAGCAGGTGGGTCAGGAGAGGGCTGCCACGCCATGTGGTCACCTCCGGGGCAGGCGGGAATCGAACTCATGCGAAGTGGCTTTAGCTTCTCAGTGCTGTGCTTTAACCCACTGCACCACCAGGGAGTGCCCAACTCTGGGAACATTTTATCAGAACTCCTCTTTCAGTGGCTACAGCAAGTTTCTCAGACATGTTTCTCCAGGAGACAAAGTCACTAGTTATATCCAAAATGACAGGCTTACTCTAAAAGGGAGAGAGAAGAATAAAGGACACTTGCATAGACACAAAAAGGCAGAAAGGTCTGCTCCCCAAAGCAACAAGTTTGCTAAACAAGAGGCCTCCGTGGCCGCAGTGGCCTCCACAGCCAGCCTTGGTAGGTGCTGCCGCGGCGGCTTTGCAGAGCGAGAAGGTCCGTGAAGGGAGGCACTGGCTTGGTCACAGGTCACAGGTCATAGGTCACAGGTCAGAGGCAGCAGGAGGGCTGATGCCCATTGCCAGCGTAGAAATTCCCCTGCTACACTCTTGTCTTTAGGAGGGGCTCATTGCTCTGTGGACTGGTTCATGTTGGCTGATTTTTAGTAACTATAAAGCTTGAAAAGAACCAGAGATTCTACGGAGGCCCTCAATCTCTGTATCCTCACCCGCAGTCTGCACCCTCCCCCACCCACCTCTCTACAGCAGCAGCGGGACACCTGCTTGGGTCTGCGGCTCCTGACCTAGGAGGTTGGCGCTTGTATTTCCATAGCGAGTCTAAGGACTACATTAATCACTTCTACTCCCACCTCCAGCTCCAGGCATTCCATAAACCTGGTTTCTGATCTTGTGTTCCCTCCTTTCCGACTTTTCTACACTTAACCTTGTCAACAACATTTTTTTAATGTAGTTGAAAGGAGAGATCAAGCCCTCCCTGGTGAAGCAACCAAAGGGTTAAAGCACAGCACCATGAAGCTATCTGCAGCGACTGCAACACAAGCAGGATCCCCCAGCCAGGGAGCTGACCCACATAGCACAGCAGACCTCTTCTATCTGTTTGCTACCCACCCCCTCAGCAGTGTGTTTCAGTAGATCTGCCTGTCCTGCTCCCCAGTCTGTCTCTGGTAAATCCTCTCACCCCCCACCCTGCACCTCTGATGTGTACCCCAATTCTTGTATACATAAATAAATAAATTTTGAAAATACTATCTAATCACAAAACAAAGGACTCCTTTTCCTGGTCCTCACATTCCACAAAGCCTTCTTTACCTCCTTGTTCCTGAGGCTGTAGATGAGTGGATTCAGCATGGGGATCACCACTGTGTAAAACACAGAAGCCACTTTGTCCCGATTCAGGGAGTAGCTGGTGCTTGGTCTCAGGTAAGTGTAGATGGAGGTGGAATAGAACAGGATTATAGCTGTCAGGTGCGAGGCACATGTGGAGAGCGCTTTGTGTCTCCCCTCCCCGGAATGCATCCGGAAGATGGAAAACAGAATATACGAGTAGGAGGTGAGAATGACCAGCAGAGCCCCGACCAGATTCACTCCGGCAAAAGTGGAAAAGATGCCCTCATTCAGGCGAGTGTCAGAACAGGAGAGCCGGAAGAGTGGAGGGCTGTCACAGAAGAAGTGGTGAATGACGTTGGAATTGCAGAAGGACAAGGTGCTCACGTAGCTCGTGTTCACCATGGAGTTGAGCAGACCTGCTGTGAACGCCCCTGCCGCCATCTTGAGGCAGACAGCGGGAGTCATGGTCAAGGAATACAGGAGGGGGCTGCAAATGGCCACGTACCGGTCATAGGCCATCAGCCCAAACAGGATGCACTCGGTGGTGGCCAGAGCGATAAAGAAGTACATCTGCAGAAAGCAGCCAGCGAAAGAGATGGTTTTCTTCTCTGATAATAAATCAGCCAGCATCTTTGGGGTGATGGAGGATGAGTAACAGATGTCTACAAAGGACAGGTTAGCCAGGAAGAAATACATGGGTGTGTGCAGTCGGGAGTCAGTCCTGATTAGAAGGATCATTCCAAAATTCCCCACAACTGTAAGTGTGTAAATCACCGAAAAAAGCAAGAAGAGCATAATCTGGAGCTCAGGAGTATCTGCCAGTCCCAACAGGATGAACTCAGACAGTGAAGTAGAATTTTTTCTGGCCATTTATACTCAATATAATTTTCTTAAACTGATATTTCGTTGTAAATATGTCCTTCTTCAAATCTTTACATGTTAAAGTAGGCAGTTAATGAGGATGTGCACACATGGAAAAAGAAAACAATATAATACACCATAGCAATTAGAGTAGCTGAAGTAAGAGAAAAATTGGTGGACAAATGTATAAGCTTTTGCATTTAATGGGCAATTTTCTTCATTGACTGTGGGTGTGGACTGCCTAAATCACTCCTCTAAGAACACATAATCCACTTCTGTTTCTGTCAGCACAGCACAGTGTTCTAATGTTTCCCTAGCATCCCACATCCAAAATGCAGAATATAAAAATACCTTTGCTCTCCTATCCTCTGAACAGATATGTGGATTTAACTCATTTTTATTTTTTCCCCTCTGTATGACTTTTCTGTATACACTTCAACTCTAAAATTCATGTCCTGTCTCCCCAAAATTGTTGATGTATACCCCAAGCAGCATCAATAATACCCAGTTCAAATAAACAGTATCTAGGCACCTATTATATTTTAAAGAAAGTGAAGCAACCGATCGTTCTTACAAGGCACACCATGTATTTAATATTAGATTGAAGCAGACACAGTACCTGTCCACAGTTTTAAAAACAGCACCCAGTCTTCATTATCTCCTACCTGGAGTCTTCCTTCTGTAGTCTCTCATTCCTAGTCATTATTTTAGTAGGGATATTCAGTTGGAGCTTAAAGACAGAGCCAAAATAAATGCCTTTTCAAATAAACCAAAGTTCAGTTTACACTTACATCTCCTATATAAAAATTGTGCATAAATACATACTGCTGCAGTTTTATTTTGCTTTCCTTAAACAAATTGGTTAACCATGGGGACATGATTAGACTTTAATTGTGGAGTCAATCCTCTAAAGGCAGATGCTTCAGTCTCAAAAGAAAAACTATCACTTGTCTACATATGGAAAAAAGTAAAACTTATATAAATTGTTCCCAGATTTCTATTAGTTCCTGATTTATCATCAGACAAAATGTTTATTTACATTGCATCTCTGTTCATAATTTTAGCTTATTCCAAACAGAGATATTGTCTACTATTAAATTATTGTGTTCCCTTTGTCAGTGTGTTGTGTGGTTTTTGTGTGTTATCCCCTTTGTATAAATAAATATAACTTGCATTCCAATTTTAAGTAAAATTAACAAGGAGAACTAAGTAAATTAATTGTATAATCTTTAAGGAAATATCATAGGCTGAACAAATCTTTTTTTATATAATGTCAGAATTTTGTGTTGACTGTTGCCATTGAGTCTCATCTTCCAGACTTGCTAGATCAAATACACAAGTAAGACAAAATGAAATCAACCACATCAGGAGGTTACAGCATGGAGACTTTTGTGCATAGAACACATAAGGCATTCAATATATATTACACCTTTCCATTTAACTTTTCTTTTCTTATTATTTTTTAGATTTATCTATTTATGCACACAGAGCTAGGGTACAAGCCAGAGATGCAGGGGCGGTCAGAGGATTCACCAGAGACAGAGTGAGGAGCAGAACAGGTAGATCGACGAGGTACACTGCTAAGGGGAGTTACAGTCTGGCCAGGAGCGGTCTGCTGCGCCATGTTGGTCATTTCTGGGGCCCGGGATCAAACTCACACAGAAGCGGCTATGGCCAGCTTGCAGTGCTGTGTCCTAACCCATTGTGCCACCAGGGAGGGCTCCATTAAACTTTTCAATGAATCGCCCACACCAATCTTTGTGATCAAAATTATCATCATACACCTTTTACAGAAGATTTGTCACAGTGGTCATGTTCGCGATTTGTATTTCCCATAATAAAAGCTTAACCATGCCTTGGTGTCTAGGGTTATGTTGGAGGCCAGTGCATTGGAGGGAGAAGACTCATAAATATTCCTAGTTTCAGGCCCTCCCTGGTGACGCAGCGAGTTAAAGCACAGCCGTAAGAAGCTGAAGCCACTTCAGCATGAGTTCGATCCCCGCCTGCTCCGGAGGTGACCACATGGAATAGCAGACCTCTCCTGGCCCGCCCACTGCTCCCCTCAGCAGTGCGCTTCGTCATCAGTCTGTTCTGCTCCCCACTCTGTCTCTGGTGAGTCCTCTCACCACCCCTGCACCTCTGAACTGTACCCCAGTTCTGTATGCATAAATAAATCTTTAAATATATATATATATATATATTCCTAGTTTCCTTTTCTCCAACTTCCCTATCCCCGAAAGTATTGCAGCCTAGACCAAAGCCCCTCATCACAAGAAACACATTCATTGTCATGTATACACATTCAGTGCCATGTATACAAATATGATCCTATCACGGAGGCTACAAAGTGTTACAGAGGTCACCGTCTCTGGAGCCAGTCAAAGGCTGGCCCTGAAGCTTATTGAAATGTGCTGTTTGCCACCCCACCCCCCACCCCCGTGGCACAATAGGTTAAAACGCAGCACTGTGAAGCCGCTTCAGCAGGAATTGGACCCCAGCCAAGGAGGTGACCCACATGGCAAGCAGACCTCTCCTGACCAGCCCGTTGCACCCCTCAGTAGTGTACCTCGTCGATCTGCTTCTGCTCTGCCTCTGATGAATCCTCTCACCATCCTTGCACTTCTGATCTGTACCCCAGTTTTGTATGCATAAATAAATAATTGTGATTATCAAAAAAGAGAAATGTACTGTTTGGGGACCACAGTTTGCCGTGCCACAATTTACTGCCAGAACCTATATAAACAACTTGATGACAGTGATTCTTATTTCACTGTAATTTTGCTTTTCAGTTTTGACAGGACAACAAATGAGAGATTCCTCAACGTGATATCAGTTGTTCTTTAGAAACTTAATGAGATCATCCCTTCCATGTATATAGTTCCTCTTCCAACATGATGCCCCTTATATATGGTCCCATGAAATTGCTCATAATTTTGAAGACATGGACACTTGGAAATGTACAGAAGCAAATAGAATGCTTCTGTACATTCTGTCACCTGGTGCATGCTGGGATATCCTCCATGAAAAAAAGCACAATTTTCCTACCACATCTTCAGTTTGGGAGCCTACATCTTTGATAGAAGTGAGTGAACTCCTCACCCACACAGTTGATACTTTTAAAGACTGATATTTCTGTGTAGGATGCACAACAAGAGGGTTCTCTTCAGACTGTAATGTAAGGAATTCTTTATCTCAGTCCTTTTTATATAACAGACCCAGAACTGACTGTCATATCAAAATGGCATACATGTTAACAGAAGCCTTTAGAGATTTTAAATAAGTTGAATGTTTACTTAACATTTTGATAAAGCAACACTGTCTTATTTCCAAGTTCTAGTAGAGAAAGACCACCAAGCCCTGAGATATCAGGTTATGAAGTATCCTAAATTCTCTCATGAACAAGGAGTTAAAAGATCTCTTTAGAGATAAAGACATTATATAAGGAATATTATTTCATGGACTTTGCATATAGTACCAGGCCTTAGCAAACCCCTAAATCCAAATAATTTTCCAAAGACCCTCATTTACTTTCCCATACCAGCTAGGGACCCCTTATATCTGGTTAAAATATATATATTGAAGACCTAAAGTACAAAACATTGACCTTGGTTGATAATTGCTTGTACATCCTGCTGTTGTTACAATGTATTGCTGCAGTATTTTTTCCCAATCCAAGGGATTCCAAAAAAGAAAATTAAAGAATATTGGAGAATATAACAAATAAGCAGTTTCCAGAAATGTATTTTGTTTACATTGCTCTGTAAGAGACATGTATTTTTGTTTGGCTAGGTGAGGAGACTCTGTGAAGAAACATAATTAGCGATATGATAAAAGTTTATGAGTGAGTCTCATACATGGACAGTCTTCCTGGTATGTTCAATCCATGACACTTTCTTAGAATTGTTTTCCCTTTGTAACTCTTGGCTCATTTACTTTACAGACTTTAATACGCAGGAGAACAATACTTCCTCTATGTTATGGTGAAAAATGGACATAGTGGAGCCATCTTTAAATGGAGTTTGGCAGCCATTTTGAGAAGTTATTAATTATACATATTGGACAAAGGCACATTCAGAGGACTGATAAAGGGAACTGCCTCCTATTATTACCTTGTGAACTCCTACCTGACTATTTTCACCTTGTGAAACCATCCCCTGACCACCATCACATTCTCTATTACCTCACCCTTTTGTTCTCTTTATGTTTTTAACCATCTGTCCCTCCTGTGGATAGGTGTAGGCTTCCACTAAATCTGTGTACTGCAGTTATAATTCTGTGATCCCAAATAAATGCACTTTGCCTTTTTAGTGGTCTCCTAAAATTATAGATTAACAGGATTAACAGTACCAATGAGTCTGCTGAATTGAGAGCAGTAAAGTCTGTGGTGACTTCCAAACATGAAGTTTTCCTTTTTTATCTTCCTAGAAACTGAGGTTTAAATCTGCCTAGTACTTAGCTAATCAATAATCCCAGTCCATATTTTGTTCCTTCTGTCCCAGACATGCTGAGCCCCAGTCCCTTTCCTAAGGGTCCCCACCAAGAGGTGCCTTAGGCTATTGGCAGGCTTTCAGGCCCTGCTGATAGGTGGCCCTGCTCTAGGTCAACTCTGTTTCTCTGGGCATTTACCCACCAGGGGATGGGTAACTTAGGATGCTTGATTTGGAAACTATATTCTTTGTCTTCTCCTTGTTTCACACTAACTGTAGTAAATTTCTTTTTCATCAAAGGTCTTATTTACTCGAGTGTGGTTTGTCTTAATTCAGTAGATGGCAGAAGTTATTTAGAATGTGGCAGTTTGGATCCTAGGGTACCTCTCATCCTGCCCTATAACAGAAAGACACCTTTTAAGAATGGAATTGTTTCAAACCATTTTTCCAACAATTAATTCTTCAGACACATTACTATTTTGATTAAGAAAAGATGTTTATTCTCCTCTAATAAAGTGATATTTCATCAATACAACATGTTTTTTAATAGCATCAAAATTGATGTCAGTTTTCTGACTAGATATAGGTAATAGGGAGGTCATTTTCAATAAGTCCAGTATCCTGTGTTATCCATCTCCCACCTTAGGACTCTTATGAAACATATCCTATACCAAAGACAGTTAAAGTCTAAAATGATATTTTAAAATATTAGGAAATATTTCAAAAATACTGATGTAATTGTTAAAGTTAAGTTGAACACAATCAGCTGAACATACCCAGTCCACCCAAAAATCTAATGAGCTAGGTCACTGGAGCTCACCACTTAAAAATTAATAAAAATAAAATCAAAATAAGTACCTCAGTGTCTCACAGCTGTTAAAAGGCAAAACAATCAAGGCCACATTGCCTGAATCATAAGCTCTTGTTCTTCTGTCTTATCATCCAAAGCTCTTTCCTTTAGTGACTCAAGGTATTTGAGTAGGAAAAAACCTATGGTGCCTACGACTCATCTCAAAATTACTTAATTAAAGTGAATTAAAGTGAATGGTTAGCTTAATCTTTCTATTTAAAATAAAGTATAAATACAAAGCCATTCAAGGGCAACTCTAGAATTTCCTCATTTCAATCAATGCTTTAAAATATATTTAATGATCTAATAGACATATAGGAAACAATTTTCATTGACTAAAAAAGTTAAAGTATTATTGTTGCTATTTTTACACCAAAACTCTCCCAGTGATGGACACATAAGCGACTTTATAACTAACTTCATTATAGTCAATTAAGTCACATTTCTTCATCTTACTCATTTAAAATGTGTCACTCAAGACACAGAAATCGATGGAAGGTAATTGCCAATCTGAAGTTCTCTCGGGGCTAGAGACTACCTGGGGATAATGTCTCACTGGACACAGACTAGACAATAAATATTCATCCTTTAATGAGACCTATCTGTAGAATCTGGAGAGAATGTTGTTAGCCTCTCCTACAAATTAAATTTTACAATTCAAAATTCTACATCGTGCTAAGGTAAGTGACCATTCCTTAAATGTTCAACAAATGTCCGTGGAGCAAAGATAATTATTACTTTAAGTAAATTGTATCTTCACTGACTCCCTGTATGGTTTTCTGTTTGTGATGTATGTGGCCTGGGAAAATGGGTGGAAGATAGGCTTTTTGGATTTTTAGAAAATCCATGGTCTTATTTAGTAAGCAAGACTAAGAAAGTCAAACCTCATCAGCAAACCAAACCTTCATTGCACAGAGCACATACACAAATTCACACACAGCATGACTAACTTGCATTCTCATAATAATCAGTTCCAGGACATTATGATCTTGAGAAAGAAGCTGAATATTAAATTGTCATAGTGGTATTAATGCTAACAGCAGATAATAGTGGATACATTTAGCATATAATATACTCTGTAAATGGTATTGTCAATTATCTAGGTCAACTCTGGCTTTAACCTTCCAGTATATTACTATGCCATTGAGCCAAACAATGCATTTAGCTTACTTAAGACATTCAGTGCTGGTAGAAGATTCTCATATCTGAAGTAGCTGAATTTGCCTAACTCTGGATGCCATCTGTTTGACCACAGTACCATTTGAAAAGCAGCAAGAGAGAGCAAGGAGTAAGCTTTAATTTTTCTACTTAAAACAAAGTACACATAAAAAGCCATGTGTACACAGCTTTTAGAAACCTCAGCTTTGCCAGATGAGATTTTCTTTGTCAGATGAGATACACTCCCAGTGGGTCTGGGAGTATCTTAGTTCTTGATCCGAATCTCTCAAGAGAGTGAAATGGATCTGGAAAGCTCTGTCTGTTATCAAAAATTGACTATAGATGCCATCACACCGTTGCAGTTTCCATGGAGACTCAAGGAAAGAAAGGCCAAACTTTGATCCGATAACCTGTTTATGGATATACGATAGCCAGTCATTCAAAACATTAATAGATATGTCACTTTTGACGATCTTGTAATGGGACTTAGGCACCCAATTTTTAAAAATCAACAATTAATATTTCTATGTCCTCCTGATGTAGTTTTGGAGTTGATGAGTTTGAGGTGGGTGAAGTGGGGGGGGGGGTGAAGAATTGGGTTCAATCTGGGAAAGGTTTCTCCAGAGTTCCCCTTCAATTGGCACTGGTGTGTTTTCCTAGGCCAGTTTCTTCAGGAGTCAGAAATGTTATTTAAATTTAAGATTTATTAGGAAAAAGGCTAGAAAAATAAAGGACACTTGCTAGACACAAATAAGCAGGAACAGCTGCCCCCAAAGGGACAGGTTTGCTGAGAGAGGCCCACACAGTTGCTGGAGGGCAGCAATGAGGAGAACAGACTCTGATGAAAGAGGTCGTGAGGAGAAGCCCCAGCAAATGAAGGTCATGGGCAGGCAGAAGGCTGCTCCCTACAGGGGAACAGAGAGCTGGCAAAAAGGAACACTTGCATGGGCCAGGTGGGCAGAAAGAAGCCTGCTGCCCAGTGCCAATGCAGGGACTGAAATGATATCATCTATCTTTGGGAGGGGCTCACCCCATGGAGTGCTTTTCTGTTGTTGGCTTTGAATAAGCTGTAGAATTTGAAAGGGGCCAGATTTTTACAGTGGGCTCAATCTCCATGTCTTCATCTTCAGGTGTGTGGTCCTGACCCCCTCTACAACATCTGATAGCTGCTTGGGTTTTGTGCTTGGTGGTCTAGGAGTTAGGGCCTGAGGATCTTGGTTCCTGTAGCTGGGTCAATGGCTGTGCTAATCCCTACTACACCTGCCCGCAGCTCTTGGCATTGAATGAGCCAGGTTTCGGGTCCAGTGGTGGCTCCTTTCCAATTATTTCTATCCTTATCCTGCATTCTGCTATTAGATATTGTCATACCCTGGGGACAAAAATGATACAGAAAATCAGAAAGAACTCAAAGTCACAGAACTAGTGTAAGATTCACTGCTGCCGAACAATGCAATTGCATAAAACACACACACACACAATAACTTTAATTTACAAGAACAAGCATACATTATGAATCCATGATGTTAAAGAGAAGATAAATTTTGAGAAAACTATTGGGTTTTTTTAATCTATTGAAAAGCAATTCAAAGGAAACAAAGGGTCAGTTACTTGTTTTCATTAATTTCATACTCATGTCAGGCACCTTTTATATATATGTTGTATAAGTGGCTCACGCGTCTCCACAAATGTTGCTGGAATTTCAGGTTTTCAGGTTTAGCTCCCCAGCCAGGAAGGGATGCCAGGCTGCAGGGTCAGTGCTGAGTCCCAGCCCCTACCCCACCACTGGTGGTGTCTCAGGACAGGAATTGTGATGACTCTCATGCCAGCAAAGAGGAAAATTTGTTTAGAGAAATAGACATAAGGCAAAGATTATTAAGGAGAAAAAAGAAACAAGTGGGGCTTCACTCTAGTTTTTACCAGATTAACCATCAGCCGCCTGTGGTCAGGTCAGATCACTTACATCACCTGGAGCCCATCCAACTCCAAATGGCCCTTCAACTAGAACCAATTTTGAAGCCTCCACCATCCTCCTTCAGAGCTCACTTAGATCAGCCTAGGATGGAACCCCGAATGCTCCCCCATCAACACCACTGTCCCCCTTCCATGCCCATGTTCAGCAGGAAGCAGTTACAGGTTTAATCCCTGCATCTTGTCCTAACAGCAATCAGGAGTTCCCATGCATAGTGGGGAAACGCAATAGATTCAAGGTCAAATAGCATAGGGAAAAACTCCAAGCCATAAGGGAAGCTACAAGAATAGAGGCAGCAAATTCCAAAGGGGGGTTCACCAAGCACAGCAAGGGGTAGTAGGACATTCCTGGCCAACAGCTATAAGAGAGTACTTGAAGTAAGGACATTCTGGCGCCATGGCCGAAAGGCAGAGTGAGTGAGACCACTGAGAACTAGCTAGCCACAGAGACTGACTGGGCTTTAGAATAATCAGGGAAGGAAGGTCTGTATCCCTGAGACACAACTCTGCTCGGCTTCTCCCATCTCCGAATCCCACTTGGCTTCTGTTCCTTTTCTCCTTAGTAAACTTCTCCTTATGTCTATTTCTTGAAACAAATTTGCCTCTGTTAGCTCGCTGAACTGAGAGTCAGCAAGTTCCTGCTGCTGCTTCGTGAGACACCACCCATGGTGGTCTGATGGCCAGGCTCAGCGCTGTCTCCACAGCCTGGAATCCATTCCTGGGGGGACACTAAGCCTGACATTATGGTAAGCTGTGGCTTCTAACAGCAGCCCATGAATGACTGACAAAATGAAAACGAATCAACAGGAGTCTTTGATTTTAAATATATTATGCATTTTTTGTCTGTAACTAGAAATATTGGATTTTTTTCAACTCCTGCCATAGACATTGGTTTCAAACTTCAAATGTTCAGTGTAAAGGTAACATAGACACAGACTCATTATACAGGCTTTATTTATGTCCTGAACAAGAGACTTGTCTGTATTAAAATGCATTGTGATTTTATTCTTCTTCTATTTGTTTCCACAGGAGATTTAAGCTGTCCTTGATTCACTGATCACTCAGGACACCTCAGGACACACTCAGGAAATCGTCGATTTTGGCAGAGAAAAGCAGGATGTTGGAGAGTAATTATACCCCACCAACTGAGTTCCTACTTGTTGGGTTCACAGATTACTTACCTCTCAGAATCACATTATTTTTAATCTTTCTCATTGTTTATCTACTAACTGTGGTAGGAAATTTGGGTTTAATCATCCTGGTGAATACCAATACCAGCCTCCAAACCCCCATGTATTATTTTCTCAGCAACTTGTCTTTCTTAGATATCAGCTATTCCACAGCAATCACCCCTAAAATGCTGGTGAATTTCTTAGCATCCAGGAAAAGCATCTCTTACTATGGCTGCGCACTACAAATGTTCTTCTTTGCTTGTTTTGCTGATGCGGAGTGCCTCATCCTGGCCGCTATGGCCTATGACCGCTACTCAGCCATCTGTAACCCTCTGCTCTATTCCACACTTGTGTCTAAGAAGGTGTGTGTGTGCTTTATTGTGCTGGCATACTGCTGCGGGAGCTTCACCTCGCTGGTTCATGTCAACCTCACCTTCAGGCTGCCATTCTGCGGCTCCAATGTTGTCAATCATTTTTTCTGCGATATCCCCCCTCTCTTGGCTTTATCTTGTGCAGACACCCATATCAATGAGCTTCTGCTCTTTGCTTTGTGCGGCTTCATCCAGACTAGCACTTTTGTGATCATATTTATCTCCTATTTTTGCATCCTCATCACGGTCTTGAGCATCAAGTCCTCAGGGGGCAGAAGCAAAACATTCTCGACTTGTGCTTCCCATCTCGTAGCGGTCACTCTGTTCTACGGGACGCTCTTGTTCATGTACTTGCGTCCCACCACCAGCTACTCCTTAGACACTGATAAAGTAGTTGCGGTGTTTTACACTGTGGTCTTTCCCATGTTTAACCCAATAATCTACAGCTTCCGAAACAAGGATGTAAAAAGTGCCCTCAAAAAACTATTAGAAAAAGACTGGAGTCTCAAATGACTAAAAATTTCAATCACTTAAGAATACTCAAGGCCTACTCTTCCAATTTCATCATTAATACTATGCCACAGATATGTCAATTGTTTTCCAATTATAAAAATAGATTTCATCCTCACTACTTTCAAATGCCTTCATTCGTTCACAGAAATGTTTTATCCAAAATGTCCTTGCTCTGTGAAACATTCCTGAATTAAAATAATTAAACTCTATTCAATGAGTGTTTTCAAAATACTTTTTACATTGATTTGCTATATTCTTTTTTTTTATTCGCTATATTCTTTATTATACTGTAATGAAGGTATATGTTGACTTGTCCTTCAACCCATCTGTATTAGAAGCTTCTTGGAAGCATGAAATAAGTGAACTGGTTTACCAGCAAGTGTTCCATAATTAAAGCAGATGTTGTTCGTGTCTCATGTTCTAACCTTGGAATTCCCATAATTCACTTCAATGGGAAAAGCAAGTACTCTCAGTTACCTTCACCCAATAAAAAGACTACTGAAGTTGTTGTCATAATAGTTCTTCCCTAGTATCTGTGAAGGTCTGGCTATCATCATCTAAGCAAAGCATGATCTGGAGTGACTAAAAAAAAAAAAAAAAAGATTTGGTAAAATGAGGATGTGGGCTCTCCCTGCTGTCACAGCAGGTTAAATCACAGTGCTACTAGCCACAGCTGCTTCAGCAATTCAATCCCCATCCAGGCAGCTGACCCACATGCCGCAACAGACCTCTTCTGTCTCACCCACTGCTCCCCTCAGCAGTGTACTTCAGCAATCTGCCTGTTCTACTCCCCCCACTCTGTCTCTGGTGAATCCTCTCACTGCCCCTGTAGCTCTGGCCTGTACCTCATTTCTGAAATGAATAAATAAATCTAAAAAAAAAAAAAAAAAGGATAGTTGAGTCACCAACTATAGTGTATAGACCAGAATGACCAGAACATGCATTTGTCTTCATAGGAGGATTCGACATATAAGAACCCACTATCGAACATATGTGAATTCTTCAGCCGCTCACAGAAATGAATATCGTATAAATAAGACTGACATTTGAAATTACAGTGTAAGAACTTGAAGCAGTGATCAGTGAAAACTGTTTCCAACTGCGTGGGGTCAGAAAAATAGCCACACCTAAAATTCCACCTCCACATTCATAACTTGGGATAGCATTAGCTCTTCCTAAAACTTGACCAAAATCAAGAACCAGTGGTTTCTACTATATAGCTGCAAATATCTGACTTTGGACAGGACACTGATCTGGCGCCTCAGCTTTCATGATTAAGGCAGAAGCATTTTGCTTCTTGACTTTGACAGGGGGGCGGAGTTAAACTGTTGATAATGAAGTTGATGAAACGCCAGAATGTGCTGCCCTTAGATTCATAATCTCAGTTCTTTCCTGGGATTTACTGACTTGACATTGATCTGTAACTGGTTTCCATGAAACACTGTAAAAGGCAGTGTACAAGGGATCACTTTTAGATGGGTTGATCCTTACCTCTCCATCATATCTGAGAAAAAAAAAATCTGTGTTGGTTTTTTATATTAACAAGTGCTACTTGACATTTCATTAGTAAATGTATTTTCACAGAATTTATGTGCCACCATTTCGCCTACACTGGTCATCTGGTTTGAGAGATGGAATCTATTTATAGAGTTGTAACGGTAATTATTCTGTTATGATGTGTGCTTTTCCTTGATTTTTCTAGAATTCAACTCAGTTGTTCATTATATCTCACATCTTCAGTTATTCACACATGCATGTATAGATTAATTTTTTCCTCAGATGCTATAGTTGTCACAACTATAATTTGTTTCTACCTCAAGCAATAAAGATAGAATAATATACAATATCATAGTTGCCGATAACTATTGTATCACTCAGTATCCCAAGCAACCTGTTTGGCATTGAAAAGTAAAGACAGAAATACCTTAACTATGGGTATTTAATAAAAGGCTTATAGAATGAGGTAGAATCTGAATCTAGATCCATACAGAAAGTAGGAGGATATCTTTATGTCAAATGGGAATGAGGTGAGATGGCAGAGTTTATGTAGATTTAGAGAACGAAGAATGCAAAGCATAATCTAAGAATTGTATGTTAGTAATTCCTCTTAAACTTTTTAATTTCTAATCCTGACCTCAATAGCAGGTTTTTCTTTATAACCCTTCACTGATAACAGTACAAATTTATTATTTTTAAATTATGACTATGGCTGGAAATACTAATGTCTACCCTAGACTATCACCTTATAATTTATCTTTAAATTTATATGAAAATTAATTCCCTTCCCTTCTGCCCTCCTTCTTAGGTCTCCTCCTTTCCTCCTTCTCTCCCTTCCTTCCATACTCTTGCTTTCTTTTATTTTTTTTTTCTTATTTACTACTGATTTTCATGGGGGCATAGAGCAATACACTCTTAATTAGGATCTCTGAATTGCATGAGTTAGGTATATGGGAATCTGGAAATACCAAATTTTTCAGCATTTTCTCAGTAATTAATTAAAATTTTAGCATTTTCTAAGATATTATCAATGCATTAACCTTCAAATAGCATCCAATACACCTGGAAATTAAATAATGAGGACAGTAGTGGTTCTATCTTGAAATACTGGACAAATAATTCGCCATTTTTATTTATTTATTTTTTTAGGGATTGTCTCTAATTAACTTATTTTACAGAGAAATGATTTAAATTGACTACCCCTGGGCATGATAGATATTTGACATGAAAAGTGGTTGTATCAGAATTTGTATGTGTGATCTCATAGAAATTTATTATGAATGATCGTTAAATTGCTAGTTTGGGGAATATGACATCACAAATTATGTAAGTATTGTACTGAATCCATGCGTTAGGTAGAACAATACTCCTATTTTATAGGAAAGAAGACAGTTTTGACATTTTGCCATTAGGATATTTGACAATTTCTCTGCTAGAAACACATGACTGTAACATATTTCACTGGTCCGTAAAATTGTAGTCTTTTTATTGTGTCAGTATCTTAAGGTGTCTGTGTTTTCAAAAACACAGCCATGGTACAAGTTTTTATTTATTAAAGGAGCTCAGTTTTATCAATGAAGGCACAGAGGCATTTGCTGCACAGTGAATGAGAGGACCTGTGGGTATGTGATTAGTCTGGGTCTCCAGAGATTATAAAGGAGGCTGGTGATACAACCTGTGGACATCTGAGGTTCCCATCTCCACAGCGAGCTAGAGATTCTGGCCCCAAAAGAAAAGGAGGAATCTTTCATCATTTTTAAAAAAGCAGAAACAAGCAAACCTGTTTTAACAATAAATCCTCTATCCATCACAAAAACCTGGTCTTCTTCACTATCCTACCTAGTCCAGACTCAGCTTTGTTGTGAGTATAATTAAAGGGTAATACAGATTTATTTTGAGCTTTCAATATTTTCTGTTATCTCCCCATGTTAAAGAATCTATATAATTTTAGTATTGTTCCAAAACAGCCAGAAAGCAATTTTCTAACCTGGGCTTTTCATTTATTT